TTATCCAAAAAATCCTCCACCCACTGGATCTTTATTTTCTTTTATAAACTGAAGACATTAATACCTACCTCAAAGAATGCTTATGGATAAAAAGAAATACAAAATCACATGTAAAGAGAGTAAGTAAAAACAATGTTGGTCTATATGCAAAGTTTCTTTTCATCTTGAGGCATTTGAAAATCTCTCTTCAGCCTATTTGCTAAATTGCAAACCCTGTGAATGAAAACATATTTCAAATCCTTGGGTTCTTACCAGCCATTGTCCAACAGTATCAGAATATGGATGCTACAGGTCATCTAAATTTTAAACTGTTAGTAATTTGATTTTGTTAACTCAGCTCGGGGTCTAACTCCACAAAGACAAGGGAGCATTTTGGGATAAATTAACAAATACTGTGGATGCTGATACAAGCAAGAGGTTGTCAATAAGAAAATCACTCCCATTTACTCAACAAATGTTTACTGGGAACCTGCTGTGGGGCCTGGCAGTGTGCTGGCTGGAGTTTCAGCTGAAAAACATTTTATGAAAGCTTGGTTCTCAAAAGTTTGTGGATTGCGATGAATTCTTCCTACAAATGTCTTCTGCCTTGAGGGAATACCAAAATTTGGGGAATTCGTGGGATTAAACGTCCTCGTCTTCAGGATGTTTTCCAAAGGTAGAACAAGTATGTGAAAACATTTCCTGACAGTTGTTTTAAAAGAAAATACAAATCCTATGGCTTAGATATGAATAGCTATGCCATAGTTATTTACTGAACGTTCACTGGAACAGAACAATTGGGATTCTGTTGCTGATTCTTCCTTACGATGCTGAAATGCTACCAAAAGCTTAACAGAGCAAAGCACAGGGTGATTCTTGGCATTGATGTATGGTGCTCAATTTTACTCCATATTGGAGAGAGCAAGCAACTTTCAAGGATTTCGAGCAGGAGACAGAGATGTCACTGTCCAGATTAGCACTCTGGACTTGCCCACCTGGCTGTGCTTGTAGCTGGCAGCTGGACGGCGCTTGGTAAGGCTACCCTGCTAGTTACATCAGCAGGCATCACGCCGTGGTGCTTCCTTAGCCCCAAAAAGGCAGTGAGGCAAAAAAAGGGATTAAATCGTGAAAGTATAATGTAATAATTAGGGTGGTAATTGTAAGGGAGATTGGAACAGCCCCTCCTTTCTGTGGCCAAATAGACATAGTTGAGCTTAAGAGGTGGAAAGTGGCCTGAATCTACTGTATCATCACGGATTCTTATTCTGATGTTGAAGGAACCAAAGAATGCATTCTTATGCCTTGAGGCAGCATTGCAGCCAAACTATCCTTGACAGATCAGAGTCTCTCCCTTCCCTCCCTTAAAGCTCTCCTGAGGATGAGAAAGGATTATGCAACTCGCTGAAGAACAAGTCTTTCTACTGTCACAACCCTTACGGCCAAGACGTTATGTAAGTCTGGCTTCGGTCCTGCTCTCATTGACTGAGAGACAGTCCACAGTCGTGGGGAATATTGCCTCTTTAAAGTTTTTATTTCTTGTTATAATAATTTATTTTTAAGATTGGTTATCCAATATGTAATGCATTTTGAAAGTTGGGCAAAATACTTCTTAAATTTGGAGCCAAAAGAACATATATTTGAGAGCGCATCTTGAGAAAAGTAGTGAGAATTGTTCTTCTCAAAGCTGAATGTGGTATTCTGGGTGTGAAAGGCAATTAATCATAGATTGCAGTGAAAGTCAACTAGAAAGGCTGTTTCTAAGTTATCATTGAGAAACTATTGAATTAGGTCAGCACTTAAGTAAAAGTCAAAGTTTTGGAATTTTGTTTGTTTGTTTTCTTGACCAAAACTTTTTGACAGTTCGGTCGTCCCACAGGGTTACAGTGGCAGCATTGATTTCATTGTCACTTCCCAGGCTTATTAATTTGTGTGTGTGGTGTGATACCGTTTTTCTGATTTTTTTCTAATTCTAGTTTTGGCCTCAATTTATAAATGAGTTAGGAATTTTTGTGCTTTTTTTTTTTCTGTACCTTCTCATTAAGAGTTTTCCCTGGACTCTTGTTAAGGAGGTAAGACATATCTTTATACCTCTCAAAAGTCAATATACATTTCGTTATTTAATTCACAAAACACTAACCCCCCTGAAGTTTTTATTTCTATGTAAGAATATGGAAAATAAGTCATATACATGGTTAATATAACCATTTCAACTGTTCACTCTTGTGCTAGAGATAAGGCTTCCCTCCCTTTAGAAAGGGGAAATTGTATATTTAAAAATAGGAGTCTTCTTTTTTCAAAAGATATTCTAGCGTGGGTTTTGGATTTGTATAAAACCAGATCCAAGTCTCAGCCACTTACCTGCGGAGCGGCCATAACTTCTCTGTGCTTCCCTTTCCCAGGTGGAAAGGGTTCAACGAGAGAATATCAAAGTGCCTGGCCCACAGTAAGGGCTCGATAAATGATGAGCTTTGGTTGACGTTGGCAGTGTGACTGGGACACTCCACCACCGGCTGGTTCAGATACTCTAGGACAAAGAGGTGCCCTT